TGAGCTACATTCCAAGTCCTTTTTATTTTTTATTTTAAGCCAGGGTCTCCCTAAGTTGACAGAGCTAGCCTCCAACTTCCAATCCTCCTGCCACAGCCTCCCATGTTGCTGGAATTACAGATGTGTGCCACCACACCCAGCTGCAATTTTTTAAAATAAAATCAATGCCAAAATTCTATGATGACTAAAATATCAAACATTCTAAGAGAATTCTAAAAGAGCTGAGATTAGAGTGCAGCAAGTGAGGAAAGTCAGACATGAGCAAGATCTAGTCCTAGTCCTGAGAGTTTTCTCAGTGGCAGGGACACTGCCTATGTCAGGCCCTGCCCCATTCAGCCACATTGGGATCTAGTCTGCTCATGAGGGGCCTTGACCTCTGCCTGCCTCCTCTATAGAGACAGAAGCCCAGAACAAGGACCACACATCAAGAAGGTGATGCAGGGGCTGCAACCCAGGGCACTGAAATGTTGAGGTGACCTGGGTTCATGCCATCCCTTATATACTGTGGGACCCTGAGTCAGGTGCATCACCTTATTCCTGGTAAGGTGTAATGAACTGAGTCTAGCAGTGAAAGTCAGTCTTCCCACTAGTTGACCCACCCTGGGGAGTTAGAGGCCCTCTCCTGACCCCCAAGAAAATCACTGCTGCAACTCTAGCCCCAGGCCCAGGCCCAAGGCCCAGAACCCACTTGACTACTTGCAAATGGTGTCCTGGCAACCTCTCAGCCTTCACCTTGGCAACACCACTCTCTTCACTCCCTCTCCTTTGATTGGGCTGGAAGGCAAGGTGGAGCTGGGATGTCTCCTGACCACTAGACCTGCCCAGAGAACTGACCAATCAGGTCAGTTCTCAGGCCTCAATTTCCTTATCTGTGACCCCAGGGCTGATAAAATCTAGTCCACTAGACTCAATAAAATAATGCCGGAAGTCCTCTAACACCTGGCAACTTAAAATGTGGTCTCCTAACGAGCAGCATCAGTATCCTGGAGTTGATTAGAAATGCAGAATCTCAGCTGCATCCCAGACCTACTGAATAAGAATCTGCATTTTAACCAGAGCCCCTGGTGATTGGCACACACATTAAATCTGAGAAGCTGATCGATTCTTGGCACAAAAGAGATGCTCATTAAATTTTAGTGCTGCTCTCCTACCCACTGGGCTCTCAGTTAGATCTTGACTCCAGGCAAGAGGWAAAACTCAAGATGGAGAGATGAGCTCCTGAGATGGACACCTCATTAAATCTTAAATACTCAAGTTCTGAAGCCAGGGAACCTGACCAAGCTCTTTCTACATTTCTCCACGTGGGTCCTCCATTTTGTTCATCTGTAAAATGGGAATAATAATAACAGGTAACTCATATAGTTGCTGTGAAGATAAACTAAGAAGGTATTAGGAAAACACTCATCAGAATGCTTGGCATGTAGTAAGTGTTCAAAAAACGCTGTGGTTGCTGATGGTTGCACTGGTAGTTCAAGAAATTTGTGCCTGAGAACAGCCCATGTAATGAAACGGAATAGATAATATTTGTATATCTCTTTGCTATTTATAAATCAATTTAGTTAATAGCATTTCAACTGACTGWCATAACCCTTTGGGTAAGAAAGCGTGAAATATATCCATTTTACAGGAAAAAAAAAAATCTAGACTCAGGGATAAAGCAAATTGTCCAAGGTAACCAGAATTTACATTCCTGGAGCCTGACACTAAAATCTATGTTAGTAATAGAGCATCCARCCATGAAAAAGATCAACCATGGACCATGTTAGACTCTGGAGGTGGTACTGTTCAACCTTCCTATTTTATAGAAGGGAAACTGGGGCCGGTGGAAAGGAGGAAACTTGTTCAAGGTTGCTCAGATAGAACATCAGTCTCAGATCAGAACCCAGCTCCCAAGGCTCCCAGCCTAGAGCCCTTCCCAGGATTCAGACCCGCCTTTTTCACCTGACTGGTCAGTTCTCTGGGCAGGTCTAGGGGTCAGGAGACATCCCAGCTCCACCTTGCCTTCCAGCCCAGTCAAAGGAGAGGGAGTGAAGAGAGTGGTGTTGCCAAGGTGAAGGCTGAGAGGTTGCCAGGACACTGTCTGCAAGTCGTCAAGTGGGTTCTGGGCCTCTAACTCCCCAGGGTGGGTCAGCTAGTGGGAAGACTGACTTTCACTGTTAGACCCAGTCCATGAGGCTGAGTCTCTTTCATCAACTCCTTACCTCATCAGGCACCAAGTCCTGCTTCCTTCTCCTCCCGTCCTTGCTACCTCGGAGCCACTGCTTTTAAGGTGTCTCCCTCTCTGTGGCCTGGCTAACATCCCAGGATCCCCACCTTCACACCCCRTTCTCATTCCCGTACCCCCTGTACTCCTCTCCAGAGCACAAGGTGGCCTATCTCAGCTTCTGTCAGGACCTTCCTCCACAGGCTCTGACCACCTGCCAGTCTCATCTTTCACCCCCAGGCTCCAGCCCCACTACCTTCCTCCCAGTTCCCTGAGTGGATCATGTCCTCTCCATGCCTTTGGGCCTGCTGTGCCTTCTGCCTGGAAAGCACCTCCACTGTCTGCTTGGCCTCCTCTATGCCTCAGCCCCAAGCCTGCCTTCTCAGAGGTGCCCTCCCTGCTGCTCTTGGCAGAGGGAAGCCCCTTTGGCAAATCTGCATTYGAGTGGGAGTCACACTGCATGTGACTCTGTTCTCCTGTTTGTGTCCCTGTTAGGCTGTGGACTTTTTACATCTTGCTCTTAGAATAAGGCAGGAGACCTGGGTTACAATCATGCAAGATCAAGTCCTCATTGAGCCTCCTTGCCATCCCCTGTGAGATAGGAGCTATGACATTGGCCTTGCCCAGCTAATGAGAATGTTCAAAAGAGTGATTGTGAGGAGCTGGGTTCATAGTTGACACACTGAAAATGGACCCTCACCTGCACAGGGAGAATAACTGGCACATGAGGGGCTTCTATAGAATAAAGCCYTACTCAAGGATAATCATTCTGGAAGTTAACACTTGATTCCCACAAAGCCCCAAATCCTCTCTGCCCATCTGTCATCCATTCAACAAAAGCTTACTAAGCACCTACTATGTGCCAGGCAATACCTTATATGTGCCAGCAATGTGCTAGCTGTTGTGGACTCAGCAGTTGGTCAACACTCAAAATGTTTTTCTTTCCTTGCCATCTTAAAGGTCAGGTGCTTGACCGTGCATAGAGGTGGCCCTGCCCAAGGACAGGAAAGCTGCCATTTTCTCTGAGCTGCTGGAGGCTCCATTCCCACATACACGCCCTCCTTAGCTCCCTGCCCCAGCCCATCACAAAACAACAACTCTGCCCAGTTTCCAATCCAGCTGTGAGTTTTTATTGTTAGCTCCTTGAGAGCAGGAGCCATGTGGCTCTTTCTACTGCTGTGTCACCAGCATGTAGAAATRACCGGGCACACTCATTCACTTACTACTTCATTCATTCATTCACTCAGCAGATACCTAGCAAGTCCTGCTAAGGCACGGGTGCTGGTGAGCAGCCAGTCCCTGCATCAGGGAACTAATTCTGACAGTGGGATTGAGGGGTTGTGGGGAAGATGATAGTGCCATAGAGAAAGTTAGGCAAGTTCACACAGTTGAGACCCAGGGGTCAGAATGCTGTTGTCCAAGGTGGTCCGGAAGGCTGCTGGTAACATAAGGGACTTAGAGCCAGGCATATTTGTTAGAACTCCTCCTTCACCCTTTACTAACCATGATCTGGAAGCTCTTCATTCTTCTGAACCTCAGTCCCAACTCCCATATATGATATTTGCCCCCATAGGACCACTGTGAGTAGTTACTGAAGAGAAGAGAAAATAGAGGAAGAAGTAACCGGTTATGTGCAGGGGACGTTGGCAAATACTGCAGGCCCCTTCAGTGGCCCAGACCTTAGGGCATGACCAAGAGAGGCCCCAACTGCAAAAGAGAACAGGGACTGGGGTGAAAAGAGGGAGGATRGTGGGTTCAGATCCCAGCTCCACACTTATCTCTGTGTAACCTTGACCAGACTATCTTACTCTGTCCACCCCTGTTATTCCCAATCTAAAAATGGAGATGAAACATTGACCTCACTAATCCTAAAATGTGAAAGAAAACCCAGCAAACATGTCAAGTGATGGTTAATCAACAAATGCTTAACGGGGCCTATGTTCTACCAGGCCTTGGGCAAGGTCTGCAAACAGTCATGAAGGACCATCCTTACCTTCTAAGGAATATTTGGTGCCTCCTAGAACAAAGCAGAGGAAGGTAACTAAAATTTGAGGGGCTACAGTGTAATAGGCATCTTCTTCACAGGCATGATCATATTTAACAATAAGAACCAGAACTTATACAGTACTTAATGTAGGAAGGTGGTACTGTTAGAAGCCCCATTTTGCTGGGTATGATGGTACTCATGTGTTATCCTAGCAACCCAGAGGCCGATGCAGAAAGTCAGAAGCTAGTCCAGGCAATTTAGCACGACCCTGTCTCAAAATTAGAAGTGARAAAGGTTTGGAATGTGGTAGAGTGCCCCTGGGTTCAATCCCTAGTACCACACACCCACACACATGAAAAGAAAAAAAGAGAGAGAGAGAAAGAGTGACGGAGAAGCAGCAGTCCCATTTTACAGATGAGGAAACTGGGTTCAGAGAGCTATGACAGATGTCCCCAGAGCCAGAAATGAAAACTAAATATGACTAACAATGAAGCCTATCCACTGACATTGGTCAGAAATCATGTCATAAAACAATGTGTTCATGTCATAAAACATTGTAGCCAGCATATAATCCAAGTATTGCCTCAACCAATGGGTCAGGTAGGCAGCTGCTATCAGGTTAGTGAAGTGGATCAGCAGTTGGGGCTGATGCCTGACACAGCCCCATCCTGCCCAGTCATTTGATACAACTAACAGAAGCAGTAGTGGCCTTCAGAGACACTTCATTTGCTCCTAGGGTTCCATGTGCATTCGGGAAGTTGCCTACCCCATGAGCTCTCTCTTCACCTTCAAAATTCTCTCTTCCTCTAGGAAGTTGGGCATCTCTGACATGCTCTCTGCTCTGCTCACTGACTGAAGGCTCCTGCATTCCAGCTTAGCCAGGAAGCAAAGGTAAGGGTACTGCCCTGGATCACACCTATGGGTGGTATTCAGAAAGCACYGCTGCACCCACTCCCCAGCCTTGGGGTTCTGATAAAGAGGGTCATGATGACATCCCCCTCTGAGTTCACCAAGAACGCTCCCTAAGTTGGAATGAGATGGATCAACTAGGCAATATGGCAGAATGGTGTTAGATTGCATTGGAAGAGTCATTTACGACAGAGAAGCGCTTTCTCATGAATTGTCTTATTCTGATCTGCCCTTCACCCCCCAAAATGAGGTGGATATTATTATCCCCAGTTACAGATGAGGAGATTGAAACTCAGAGGGGGAAACAACTTGCCCAAATGTATATAGATGGTAAGGCTGAATATTGACCTATTTTTTCTTGTCCTGTGTACTTTGTAGGTTCTTGGTATCTGTTTGRTGAATGAATGAGCTAATTGATGAATTGCCTAAGACGAATAGCAGGGCAGGTCTGAGCTAGAACTTGTCTTACCTGTCATCACCAGGTCCTATGCTCTTTCTGCTGAATCACCTCTTTTTGCTCTAATGAGCTCAACACCCCCACCTCTACTCCCACCCCACCCAAGGATCTCAAGCATCTTGGGTATGGTGTCCATTAGCCCCTTCCGCTGTGGACCGAAGGACAAACGTGGAGTAGTCAACCTTAGCTCCTCTTCTGGGTGGCTGGCCAAGCTGAGATCGTATCTAGCATCCCTCCATCCACATCATCTCTTCCCCACCACCCACTACCAGTAATCCAATGTGCCTAGTTGTAAACTTGTTTCTTTAAATAAACAGTCTTGAGTTTCATACCAAATAGTCTTTTAAGAGGAGGAACGACTCCAGGCCACCTCATATTTAGCATACAGTGAGCCACATATTTGCACAGAGAGAGTGTGTGTGGATATAGAGATCGCTTGATCGCTATAGATATCATTGCTCATCCAGATGGGAGCTATTTATGATGCTGAGTCATTTGCAGAGAATGCCACTGAGGGATTCCAGGCTGGGCTCGGAGCCCCAGCCTCACAGACCTCAYGGCTCTCTGCCTTGTCATTACTTTTCACAAATGGAAAAAGGGAGAGAGAGAGAGTGGTCCCCCATCACRGTGCAGGACAGAAGAGGATATTTTGGCTGCAAGAAATAGAGACTTTCTCATAACCAGTTCAAGTCATTGTCCTTCATTCTGAGCTCCCCAGCATTACAGGTGAACTAATCCAATCCCTTCATTGCTGTAGGAGAGAGAACTGAAACCCAGAGGGAAGAGACTTGTGCAGTGTCACACAACATGTCAGCGACAGAGCTGATAGTAGACCTYGAAGCTGATTGTTGGTCTGGGGATTTTTCCACTCCCTCAGCCACCTTCTTCAATTTTATCTCCAATGTCTTGGCACTTCATTCCTTTGAGGAGTTTCCTGTCCTCTGCAAACTTGGAGATGTCACTGAGCGCTTCCTTCCTTAGGCTTCTTCAGGACAGGAGCTAGGTCCTGCTGGTTTTGGGTAACCCTCATGTTTAGTGCAGGGCCTGTATACACTGGGTGCTCAATGCATGAGTACTGAGCATTATATAAAACCAAACTCAGAATCAATTCCTGGGGATCCCTAGTTCTTCATTTGAAAAAGCACCCATTTATCTCCACCCTCTTTCTTGTCTCTAAGCCAGTTCTCTATCCATGCAAAAATAGACTCCCTCCCACTTACCACCCACCTCTGCCCAATTCTATAATGAATCAATTTTATTAATAGGCTTTGGGATAGAAGCTTGACAAAGGCTTTTTGTGAAAGTCACCCTTTATCTCCCTATATAGTTCACTTCTCAAAGGATTCTAATAAACCAGTCAGGTGGGATTCTGCCTTACATAAAATATTAATTAATCCACTCTTTCCCTCCATACACAATGTGTTTGTTTAAGTATTTAGTGATCTCTACCCTTTATGATAGATTCTATTCAATGTTCTAAGAGACACTGAGATGTGATGCAAATGAGTACAGGCTTTGAAATTGGGTTAAAGTCTGGGTGGTCATTTAACTGGTTCTGCATCCACACGGATTGCACAGAAACCTGTGCAATCTAATTTTCACAGAATTAAATGAAATAACCTTTATAAGGTATCTGGCACACAGTAAGTGCTTAGTGCAAGTTTTGCTTATTTGTTTTAAATGAATAAACCCAGACCCATATGAACCAGATTCTAAAAGGAAAGGGGACAACTGACTCTGTGATCTGAGAATCTTAGGGTCGTATAACACCAAGAGGGTGGCTTGGCAAGTCTCGGGTAGCAGATCTGAGAGATCAGGCTGGTTTGGCTGTTTGCAGTCTAGAAAAGAGGATTCTTTTCCCCTTGTGCAGAGGGTTCCCACAGCTGAAGGAAAAGTTTGAGTCTGGAATCTAAGTTCAAAACAAAGACACTCCTTGAGAGCTATAAGTGTGTTTTGTTAATGGCTAGGTTCTACCTGTCTCCAAACTAGAGCCTGAATAAGGGTGATAGGAAAGAAGCAGAGGAGTACAGTATGTGTGCATTGAGCTGAGCTGACTGGCTTGCTTTGGCCTGGGTAGAGTTGATCTAATGGACCTGGCTCAAATTGACTTGAGTATTTTTGCATTTAGGGAATGAACCCAACTCTCAGACCTACCAATAAACTTCCTGGAAAGAAACTTCCTGGAACTTGGGTTTAGCTAAGACCCAGTACTATAGTACAAAGGATACCCCAAGGGTCTCATTGAAAACATTTGGGGAATCTTCCAAAGATGGAAGCAACTTAGAGAGGATCAAGATTATAGCTAGAACTCAAAGGATAGCAGCCTTGACATGGTGAGGGGACACCCCATGCAGAATATCCTTTAGGAAACTTAAAAACATACAGAAATTCTGCCAGGATGTTTCCATATTTTTAAGGCCAAAGGATSCCCTCTTCCTTAGTACATATACCTCAGTGGGAGGTTAGGGAGTCAAATAGTCTCAATGATGAGAAGAAAAGTCAGGCTGAGGCCAGGAGCTAGGCAGAGTTTCCTATTGCGGATGCTGGGGCAGTTGTGAATTGGTCCTTTTGGAATGAGGATTCAGGGGTCTGAACAAGGTATGATTTAACACCAAATTTATATCAGGCATTTTTTGCTGAAGGCAGGAGTGACCTAGGAACTCCATCAGGGAATCAGGGAAGACCCTGGTGTCACATGTGAAAGGGAGGGGAGACTGCATCACTGGGGCCCCTTCACCAGCCCTATCACTGCCCACCACAGAATGCAACCAGGGACCTGGGACAGAAAGGAACAGAGCCAATAAATTAATTTCAGGTGAGCAGGGAGGTTTTCAATGCTGTACTTGGCCATGTCTGTGTTTGTCTCACACATTGATCTTGAGACCATCAAATAAAACATATTCTTTTCCTCTCAGTCTCCCCTTTGTGCCCTCTAAAACCCTGGGTACTGTTTAGACATCAGTGTTTGATGAATGAATAATTAGGTCAGAGTGAAGCTTAAAAAATCCAGTGGAATATTTCAAGATGGCAAGATGGAAAAATTCAAGATAGCAAGATGGCCAAGATTCAAAACTAGAGATGCCCAGCCAAGAAAGACAGCATAGAACCAGAAGTTGCCCCTCAGGAGTTTGGCTCACAGGGAAAACTGAACTGAATGGTGCCAAGGGACTGGGTAGTGGAGTTTGGGTTTAAAATAATGTTCCTCAGAGTCCCAAGCTTCTAAGAAATGTTCTCAAGAACCATTAAGAAGGTGGATTGGGGGGTTGGGGGAAAGGTCCCAAAGAAGCAGCACTRGATTCCTGAGCCCCACTTCAATCACAAAAGCTCTGCTTTTATTTGTTTTATATATTGGATTTCCACACACAATTTTATCTTTAAATGATTCTTTGGATTTAAAAATAGCATTTGGAAGGCACTGGTGTTGAAAGAGCCTAAGCATTTAGAAGTAGACTGTCTGGATTCAAATCTCAGCCCCATCCCTTTCTACCAGTGGAACTTCAGACATCGACATTCAGCGTCTACTTTCTCATCCCTAAGCAATCCTCCCAGGGATGTGTGAGCATTAGCTAAGATGCCACAGTATTTCCCAGAGGCTGGCACATATGTGATTAATGTTGTATAAGATGATTTTAGGAGGTGGTATACAGATGAACATTTATTATTTAATAGCTCACAATTGATGCATGTTAGAAATACATCAAACTCTGATTTATGGAAATAATATAGCTTTTCCTTTGAAAATAAAATCATGCATTTTTTWAAAAAAGGAAATCAATTTGAAGAGAAATTCTAAATCAGTGAATAGGACCCACTGGGCAAAAATCATAAAGGTGGTAGGTACATTAATGATTGCAGCTGATTGCAGTTTGGGGAAAATTCAGATAACTTGTGTAAACCACCATAGTCTATGACTGCCACTCAGGCAGGTCTCAAAAATGTTAGTTCTCTAATATTTGGGCATGGTGGCACTCACCTATAATTTCAGCAGCTCAGGAGGCTGAGGCAGGAAAAGCAAAGCCAGCCTCAGCAACTTAGCAAGGCCCTAAGCAACTTAGTGAGACCCTATCTCAAAATAAAATATAAAAAAGGGGTGGGTAATGGCTCAGTGGTTAAGCCCCACTGGGTTAAATCCCCTGTACCCCCCCACCCCCGCAAAAAAAGGTAATCCTTTTATCCTTCTCCTCACTTGAGAAATCTGGGCCTAGAACCAGACTCATTTAGTGGAGCAAAGCAGATGTCCTGCCCTGGTTGGCCTAAAACACAGAATGAAGTAGGCATGGGGCAGGGAGCAGGGGGCCAAGTTCAGGAAGGAAGTAGGGGTCAAATCTGGTCAAGTAGCTAGCCAAATCTCTTAGAGCAGGCAGAGGCCACCAAAGCAACAGTTTTCACAAAGGAGGTACAAACCATCAGTGGTCATGGGACAATTTTAAGAGTTATTCAGGTACTAGTTAAAACTACTAGGAGAGGAGCTGGGTGCAACAGCACACGCTTGTAATCCCAACAGCTTGRGAGGCTAAGACAGGAC